GGAAAGAGAATCAGAGGGATTTGTGGTTAGCAATGCAAGAGTGTGAGTTGGTGGTGCTGATGATGTGGTTTGGAGCAACCAATGAGAAGGCTCTAAAGGATTTTATGTATCTCTTACTCACATCTTTTTATCCACATTTTATCTTTGTCCATCAAATCATTTGTTTCTATATGTATACCAACTATTTTTTTTTTAAAACAAAAACTTATATTTGGAATTAGGATGGCACACCCACCTTAGATCTAAAAGTTCTATCGTATATTATTCCTTATCAAATATCTTTAAGACCGTTAATGTTTTAGAAAATAAATCAAAACTCGAGAATAAATTCACCAGTGGCATCATTATCAAATAGTAATATTTTGTATATGTTGTTTATCTGACACGTATCGGTAAAGCCATGGTTTAATTATTTGGTTAATTCTACATATCATCTTTAACACCACGAAAATTTTTTAATGTAAAAATTATTGTTTTCTGCGAGCAAGCGATTAAATAATTTTGTAAATAACAAGTATATGTGTATAATTGTAACAATCCCTTAGCCACAGCAGAGATTTGTGTGTACAATTTTTGCAAAGTCAACATACCATATACTTGCAAACCAGTGGTGAGAAACTGCTATCCCAATGTTAAATTGATACTCTGACCTCTCCTATGTACAGCACAGAGCCACAGATTAAATTCACTATTTAAAAATTGAATTTAAATATGTTAAAAATAATTTATGAAATTAAGCTTTTTCCGTATTTTCAGTCGGACATCATTTAACTTCACGAGAACATACTACAGCGTACGTAAAATATTAGCTAACCAAATTTTGATACATTGTTTTCTTGGTTAGCTTCAAATATTAGTTAAATTAATATATTATTTAATTACAACAATAGTGGCTGAAGTTTTTCACCTACGTAAAATAGACTAGAAAAAACCAAATCTTTAGCAATACTAAAAATCCTTTTCTAATGAATTTAGTAAGGGTTTTTCTCGAGCTTCCTCTATTTGTAATTATTTAGTTATTAGACACCCTATGGACCCTTCTAGCAGAAGTTTGTTTACCTTTCAAACCATCTTAATTCTTAAGTATAATTTCATTTACCGCATTTTCCCCAATAGTAGTCACTCCTACTGTCAGTGACATATCTAACCTCAACGTTTTTTTTTTTTTTTTTTTTATGACTATCAATATTTATCTAATGTAACATTCTTAACATCATCACATAAGTTACACATTAACTTTAGTGTGCCTAATATAAAAAGACTCTTATAAATGGACTTTTGTAAAAGTTATAGCTTCAGAAGAAGCTAATTTTATTTTTTATTTTTATTTTTCTCCTATATGAAAAAAAAAAAGCTACCTAATTATATCCTTGTTGGCAATTTGACTCTATTACCTAACATCGAGTCCCATAAAACGAAAATTTTCATTTTAGCTCAAGCACCTTGCTATCACAGAACATCAAACATTCCTTGATTCCATCTACCCAACTTGAATCTTAAAATTTACTAAATTAATAGACTCCAACGAAAAACATCTTAACGAGCCATATCAAAGAGTCTCACCTAATTGTTTTTGGCCATTATATAATTAAATCATGCTTTGCTTAGTACACACGTTTGTGTAATTATGTTAACTGAAGAAAGTAATCAGATGCTCCTACTACTTCACTTCCTATTTCACATATTACATCAATCACTAGCGCCAAATTGAATGGCTTCATAGTGCCTATAAAGAAAGAAAAATTAGCAGATAATGTATTCAGCATAACACAACCTGGTTGAAACTTGGAAGGCTGTAGAACCCATAAAGTAACTGGGTTCGTTTGTCTTCATAAACCAGGCCCACACATAACATTACTCAACTGCATTCTGCTGAGCTTCGAATCTAAGGCAAGACGTTAAATTAGTTGGAGACGCAATGTTTTTTTTCTATACAATGTAACCTAATGACATTATTTGTCTTGTCATCAAGGCCTGTAGAAAACATCACATATAACCCACTGTTCACCTTCTTAGAGCTCCATAGCTTTTAGTAACCTAGAAACAAGAGAAGGGGCTTAGTCCCACAAAATTGCACAACTATTAGAATGTTACAAATCAGAAAGCACATTGTAGAAAAAGAAATTTCCAATATCAACCACAGTTGTATCACTAGAACTACATCACAGAGATGAACGTTTGCCTAGCAACATGGTTGAACTAAAAAATGGCACGCCTCTAAGGATATGTTTGGATGAACTTCTTCGTATGTATTTATAGGAGAAGAAAATAAAAATAAAAATGAAATAACTTCTAAAAGCTAACTTCTAACTTATGGAGATGTTAATTTAACTTAAGAAAAAATGTCTTCATTTTTATTTCTTATTTTCTCCAAATTTATCCAAACAGATCCCAATTTACTGATCAATTCCCTTCAAGTAATTTTAACATCTAATTAAATTCATATTGGAGGCGAATTAATTAATTTGATATAAAAAATATCCCCAGAATTTTTTTGGTTTGCTAATACCAGTTGCAGAAACCTTCTGCTCTAATTCCTAGGAGTAATATGTGTAGCATGAAGAGTATTGACCGAGTAAAAGAATATAAAAGGGCACTATGGATCACCATTTATTCAAACAAATATTTTGAATGGGAAATGGTATTATATATCCTATCAGAAACAAGTGAAGAAACAAAAGGGGATACAAACCCGAGGTTGAGACTTATTTAATCTCTTTCTAATGTCATCATCATCGTCATCATCGTCATCATCATTGTTCATGAGCATTCTATGGATTGAAGAGTTATCTGATTTCCTTCCACGTTTAGAAGACTTTGTAGATCCTCTACCTCTTCCCTTTGTAGCAGCCCTCTTCCGTCCTGGTTGATTGGATTCATTTTCCTGTACAATATAAGATGCAGCAGATTCAACTTACTAATTTTTTAGCATGTCAAATTGTCAGGGATGCTTCAGTGAAAAATTACAATTCATAGCATGCATAAAACTGCAGGTATCAGACTGGCAAGCACTCAATCAAAGATCCTAATCAACACTTCATATTTAAAGTTATTACAAACAAGGGAATACAATACAAGGGTAGCTTGATATATACCGAACTATCATCGATCTCTTCAACAGCATTTTTATTGGCATCATCACTTAAAGCAGAAGCCGGATTATCCTCATCAGCACCACTTCGGATGGCAGTTGCTACAGTAACTGATGCAGACCTGCATTAAGTCAATGGAATCGTGATCAATAGTAATACCTGTCCACAGCATCATCAATAGAATATTAAAGTCACTTCATAAACCCATCAATGGGGAAAACTAATCCTTCTTTAAATTATTTTCATGCCTGTACTAAAAAACACCTTGTCCACATTGGCCAACAAACATGCAGCAACAGGGATGCATGGAGCAAATCTTAAGTCAGAATGTCAAGATATCAGAATCTTGGCTCCTATAGAGAAAATAAATAATCTGAGGGACAGGGTTGGAGCTAATAACTCTGCTATGGCTGATCATGTACTTATTTTTCTAGTTTTTAACAAAATGAGAGACCAAGTTTCAGTGACAAATTTATGACAGTGGCCCTGGGGTCACATGTCCATTGGTCACCAACAAGTTACAAGGGGATATTTTGCTCTAAAGACAAGTTTATTAAATTAGAAAGTGTCATAAAATAAATACAAATACACATATATTGAGAAAATTTTTAGTCATGATTTCATGTCTGTTCTGGATTTTACTTTGCTGCAAAGAACTCAAAAAAGCTACTAAATGATTTATCAGCAAGAAAAACAACCTTTGAGAAGGGCGAAACCCTAAAGCTCCATCAAGTGTTGTCTGCTTCATGGTGCTGGAACCCCTGCCTCTTCCCCTACCCCTTCCTCTGGTTGTAGTTTGAGACGCACCAGAGGATCCTTTCCGACCTCTAGTACTTGGCTTTGAGCTAGATACTGGCATGGCATCTTCATCATCACTAAAGGTAACTGCATTTTGAGTTCCAGCAGTGCTTCTGCCTTGAAAATCCTATACAGAATTAGAGAGCAGATAAGAACAAATGAAGAAAGGCCACAGATAATTATATTATCAGTGCAAATACTGCTTTTCCATCATTATTTCAATAGTAAGTATCTTAAGCATGTAGGGTTTACCTTCCATGGTTGAGCACCAGCAGTAAGTTGTGTGGGTTCCTTAGAGCGTACAGAACGTTCCTTGACACGATCCTAAAACAAGAGAGAGAACCAACAGAGTCATTCATGAAAGTCGAATGTATGTTCCATCTATCAAACAATTGTCATCACATGGCAACATGTAAGAAATATGAAGGCCCCAATGATTGAAAATATTGCAAACAAAATTCTGATCAACAGAGGTCCAAAGGAGTGAAAGGACACAGGAGACTGTTGTGCATAGATTATACGCCTACTAGTATAATGCTATTTTATGAAAGCCCCAGAAAAAGTGAGGCTTTCCCACAAGGCAATGAACAACAACGATGAAGATTCTAACCTCCAAGCATTCTCCAACTTTGACAATTAAATCTTCCACATCAAACTTAACAATATCTGAATCCTTAGCAATTTTATTCTGCACTCGCATGAAAGTCATCAAAGAAAGAGGAATAACTATGACATCAACATGAAAACATAATAGAATATGCAGAGGCAATGTATTCGATCTTAATAGGCTGTTGAATACAATATGGACCAGATGTTCAAACATAGAAACATAAAAGAAAAATGGACATGGCAGATAAATGCAATAAAGAATACTCACTCGTGTTTCCTCAATATTGTATTGTACACAAGAGTAAAATGCCATTTTTTCATCCTTGTTCACAAAATTTTGCAATGCAATATCCAAATCATTAACTGGCAATATCTCCATTTTCTGCAAAACCATTAAAAGTTAGATAAATTGAAATATAAAAATAAACTGAACTAACATTGCTTCTATTTTCATATTCCTTTTCAATGAAAGCTCAAGAAAGTCAAGAATTTCAGTTACTATTAAAGTCATCTGGTCAAAATATACAACTAGTGAAACAAACTATAAACTGAGAAATTAGAACTTTCATGAAGTTGCAAATTACATGAACAAATATGAACAGGGACTGGAGTGATCTTTTTTGTTTCTAATGATTATATTTTTTAATTGCATCCTTTATTGATGAAAGACATAGTAACCTTTGAGTATTTCCAGAAAAATTTAAGTTACATTGTGAATATATAATACACATGACACAGTCAGCAAGTCACAAATATGATATGAATCTATGCGGCCATTTGTTGTAAAAACAAGAAGATTCTATAAAATCCATAAACAGAAAGACTGAAAGGAATAAAGTAATCAAGTGATTAATACCAGATTATTTTCAGCAACCAAAGCCTCTATGTTCTGTTGATTTAATTCTTCTGGACGAAGCCGTTCTGAATCATCAATTTTTCCTACAAAATAAAAAAAGCAGGGAAAACTAGCCTTATTCCCACAAGTTTTTAGTTGAAAAATGATATTATCACTGTTTTTCAAATTATCTAACATGACTAAACCAATAAATAAATAAATGTCACTTGGACAACTAGTGATTTTTCATACTTCTAACAAAGATTGCATAAGTCTTGCACATGATTCTAAGTATGGCCATACAACCAAGAGAACACAATTCCTGCAATATCTCCCTAAGCTGATTCTAAATTTCTAATCATAAGAAAACCAATTGAAATGTGGAGTAACTCAGGCAAATCAAACTAATGTTTAAACATACATAGGTATTAAAGCATTTGAGAACTATAAATATCTTGCAAAGGTTGATTTCGCACTCGCCATTGCTTTTGTAAAGTAACAATGTTATCAAATAACTGGTATAACTCCCTTATAATGGAATAGCATAATGGTCTCTAACCAACTCACCATTCGTCATCCATTATTTGGCATTTTATGGCGGCATCCGCCACGGCCATCACGCCGTAAAGGTTTACAACAGTCATGGTGGATATGGTGCCTTTTTATTAAAAAAAAAACATTTTAGAGTTTCTAACCCAAACCCAACCCATTTTAAAGAAAAATCCAAAACACTTGTACCCTGAATGCAGAACACTATTGCTCCCAACCCTGAACGTTGCTGCTGCCCTAGGGTTCTCTGAACCTTCGTTCAACTCCTGCGACCTGAACCGCAATGGCCCCTCACTCTGGCAAACCTTGGATTGAGGTTCAAACAGGTTCTGTTTTTTTTAGTGTTTTTTATTCCTTATTTTTCTTTTCTACTTCTTCCTCTTCTATCCAATGATTCTTCATCTATTTTGTTCTATTTGAGTTCTTATTATTCGTCTTTTATTCTTCTATTCCTCTTCTTCATCTCCTTCATGTTGGGTTTGGTTTGAGTTTCTATTTTGTTGAAACATTGAAAATAGTATTTTGTTCTTTATCTTTTATTCTACTTTGTTTTTTAAAATTTAACTATTTAAGTTGATATTTTTTTGTTTTTAAATAATTTTTTCTGTTTGTAATTTATTTTTTGCAGTTTTATTTTTGTGTATGTATATTATTATTTGTTTGTCACCAAGTCTTCTGCCATATGTTTATAACGGATTTTTGAATTACCGCCATAGACCACTATCCATTATCGTCTTATTGATAACCTTGTAAAGTAAACAATTTGAATCTTGCAAGTTTCGTGATAAGATCCAATTGCAAGTTATGGAACTTGAATCCCATATTGGAAATACAGGATTCAAGTGTAAGGTTTATAAAGCTTTGAGTTCTCCAACTATAACAACTAACTTTTATGGTGTAATTCTCCGAAGGTTCTTGTCAAGTGATATAAAAGTTTTTAACCATATCTCTTATGAGTGGCATGGGTGGTGATATTGACATTGCAATGTTCACTCAGAACTAGTTAAAGGGTTAGTGCACAGCCAATTCACAGGGATGTCAAGGCTACATAGTGTGGTGAGATATTAGGATCTAATTGCAAAGTATGAGACTTGAGTCCTACATTGGAAGTACGGGATTCTAGTGTGGGGCTTATGGCTTGGGGCTCTCCCAAGTACAACATCTAGCTTTTTGGGTGTGGTTCATCCAAGGTTTTTATTATTCTGATTTGGGATACTAAAAAGCATGTGCAATTAATATGCAGTATTAATTTTTTATTATGCAGTATTACAGATATTATGCAAATAGTCAGGGCCAACTGATACTGCTCAAAACAGATTACAAGGGGCCATGTAATGCTGTTGAAGTAATGGTATCAAAGGTGGGAGTGGAAGGGCTAAAATAAATTTTTCAAAAAGAGAAGAAATAACTGGATAAAACTAACGAGAAACATACTCTACAATGTAAAAGAAAAATATAAATATACCTTCCTCGTCAATAAGAGAACTAATAACATATGCCTGCATTGAATTTTGTAATTGGCAAATAATGTTGATATCAACTGAATCGATAAAGAAAGGTAAATAAAAATAACTCAAATTACCTTCAACCTTGGCCCTTTTTGTAGCCTTTGAGAAAATGAGAATGTCTTGAGGGTTTGCAACCTAGTATAACGATCACTAATCAACAGTAGAAAAGAATCCTCAAGCAAAATCAGCATTAGCACACTAATTCAGGAAGAGGGACAGATAGAAATTACCTTCCCAACATATTTCTGCCCAAATCTTTGAGGATTTATAGTCATAAATCCAGAGTAATCTACCTATAATTTACATTGTAGAGAAGTTAAGTCCAAGCCAGAAAACATCATGTAATATCCAAGGCAACTAGATGTCCATCATAGCCAATAGACTGATCATACGTTCAAATAAAAATTAAAAATTCATAATAAACCTATGTATTTTGATGGCATTGGGAGTCTGACTCCATGCAACAAGAACAGAGTTTAGTTGGTTTAATATTATTATGAAAATCACTGTGTTTTCTAGAAGAAATATGTAAGATCAAAACCAATAAGACTGTAGAAGCAACAAGTTGCAGAATTATCTTCCAGCTAGGTGAAAACCAAAATAAAAGTGCCATCCAATCTAGACATGAAATTCAGAAGTTACAGTATACAGAAATTACCTTTACACGTATTAGTGGGAGCTTGAGTTCTTTTCTATTGACAGCCTTCTTGCTAGACTTTTCTATCAGTTTCCCAACCTGAATCATTTTCTATTATCAAAACACAGTTGCTATACATTTGACCAGAACCCATGCACAAAAATAATTTTAGAAAATTACAGTCAAGTTCCAATACAAATTTCACTATGGTCCCAAAGCAGATTTCTAAAGCAGAGTAGCCAATTTTTATCACAACTGAATAAGAACAATTTTCTTTAAAATAAAAAATAAAATAAAAAAGCACACTATGAAGAACTAATACCGAAGAGGAAGACTTTGGTCAAAGGACACCTAGGTGGTAGGTCTCTCCCATAAGTTTGTAAGCAACCAAAAAGAACACAGCAAATAATATGGAAAAAGAAAAAAAATCATCCAATATTAAGAAACATACATACCACTTTGTCTAGGTGTTCAAGTATAGAACTTTGATCATTAGGATCAATATCTGGCTCGTCTTTTAGTATTACCTGCATTATGAAGATTTGAATGATTATTGAAGAAACATGAGATGGCTTCAAATGTCGAACACTCAATCGATTCAATTTTGCTTCAAATAGCAGTGAGAAATGTAAATTTGCACATAATAAATAATTACAAAGGAAAAACAAAATAATATTAGTATTTACCTCACCTCAGTATACTCAAAAGGCCGCACAGACACCAAAGGTATCTTAGTTGGGCGATATTGATTTCCCTGTCAGGAACAATTTGTTCAATAACTTAGTAAAACTATAAAAATGACAATAGCTGGTATGCTACCAGGAAAGAAACATTTAGACTCTCATTACATCAACAAGTAGACAACCTTAATTTCTAGAAGAAGTACATGCTTCGGCTTTGATTCCCCATCAATAAGTGATGTTGCAACTGATGAGCCTGGTTGCGAAATGTGAAATCCCATCCCTGGAACTTCCTGGAGAAAATTAAAATCCATATTAATTTTCCAAAACACATGTCTATCTAGGCCAATTTAAGAGAAGTTTAATCAGTACACCTGTGGGTCAACCAAACATTCATGCTCATGGCCCCACACAATGAAGTCTAGGAAGCGTGGCAAGAAGTGCTCATTTATTGCATTTTTCGGATTTGTTTTTACCCTACATTCAATTATTGAAAACAAGATCAATCATCATGTAGATTAAAATTTAAAACGTAGATGCTGTACATCATTTGCATGATCAATAATTTCCAAGTCAAATTTGGATTTCAGGATAATCAAGACCTCTTCATTTACAAGCAGTATTAAATGCAACCCCCCAAAACAATAAGACATAACCTGTTCTGATGAAGTACAAGAATGTTGAACCAATCTGACACTTGACACCCTTCCTGAGATTCAGGTCGCATCCATTGCACAGCATGTGGCGTCTGAAAATAAATATAAAATAAATGACATACCACATCCAGATGGGAGTGCACTTAAATGGATGAACTGCTTGAAACCAATTTTTTACAGTAGCATACTTGAAACATCCTATTAAGCCTTTCATCTCTAATGTTTCCCAGACCATACAGAGCTACAGCTGTTGAACCCTGCAATTCACAAAAATACAGCCTCAGTAAGAGACTTTTAACTAGTCCAGTTTTCTCTGAAACAGCTTATCCTTTCAATCACTGACCTTCTTGATAAGAATAGGGTGGAGAGTGATCTGACCAACACCAGAACCCCCAAGAACTGTTTTCCCAAAGTAGTTGACTAGATTACATGCCGAGAGAATATCAACTACAGAAAGGTTGTCCTGTCACAATCATTCAACAAAGAAAACATATTTGCAGTAGTTTAGCTTGCAGTAAACAATATATAATTAGGTAGACCGTAAACAAAATACTATTCTTGTCAACTATAAATCTAGCTAAATTAAAAGGAGGGGGGATCAGTTTCTTTCATATTTAATTGAATTTTTTTTATCAGATATGTCAGTAGAAAACCCAATTAGCATACAGACCATGCAAATTGCTTCTTGAAAAAATGTAAAATAAGATCTTCCGGTGTTACAATTTAGACGTCTTAAATTTGGACTATTAGTGTGTAAATATTGTTTTTAACTTTTAATATTTACACATTAATATGGACCAGGCTTAATTCAATATTGTGTAAACAGAATTAAAAGGTAAAAACAATATTTACACACTAATATGGACCAGGCTTAATTCAACTCCAAAAGCTAGCTCAGGAGCTGATGATTGCTCAAATCTTATTAAGTTATACTTTGGCCATTTTTGTAGTTGAAGTGAGATCTCAACACACACCTCTCACGTTCAAGATTAGAAATCAAGTGTGGAGATTGTGGGACTGATTTTTTTTATACTGCATTGGGAAACTTGAATGGCTAAATAGATTGCACCAGGAAAGCCACAAGTCAGGTGGATTTTTTGGCAATTGAGGGTGGCCCAATATCAAATTTATGATAGGCTCTAATACCATCGTGAATTTGGACTAAACCTAACTCAACCCTTAAAGGTAGCTCATGAGGTGATAATAGTCCAAGCCTTTTATAAGCTCTACTTTGGCCATACACGCATTCTTCAGAAATGTTCTGCAAGTCTAAGCAACACATTTTTCAATCATATTCTGAATTTAGCTTGCCACAATGCAAAGTACAAGACCAACAATTCTAATCATTCTTAAATGAATAATTGTCCAGGTACTAGTACTGATTGCTCGTGTAGAGCTATAACCAGAAAAAAAAAATACACTAGTATTCTCCAAGTCCACATGGGAAATCATTAACCCACAACCAACCGCCAAGTAAAATATATAAACCAAGTCATGGTCATTCAAGACACATAAACCAACATTTGATGATCTCTTCAAGTCCTCAGCCTATATAACACGCATCCCCCTTCCAAACCCCAGCTATTCAAAGTCCATTTCATCCAGCCGAAACTCTGAACAGTGAGAAAATAATAGAACCAATGTTGCAAGCAAAACCAAAACGTAATTCAATTTCCAACCACCAAATTACACCAACATTCAAACGAGCCTACTTTCAAAACAATCAATCATTTCCAATAAACACATAGAAAAACCCCGCGAAATACAATATATCGTTAGTATATCAACTTCCTTCTTAATCGAACAGAAGACATTCTAAATGCAGCAGCAACGAACAAACAAACAAATAAATAAACCAAGTCAAAACAAAACACAACCAAAAGCAAGTCCAAAAGTACAGATAAGCCACGACACATACCACGCCAGCAGGATCGTCATGATTTCCATGAATGGTAAACACAGGCAAACCAACATTGAAGTGAGGATCCTCGTAGTTCACGTGACCAAACCTGCGGAACAAGCAACAAACCCTAACAACGAAAATGCGTATGAGAGAGGCGAAACTAGCAGCGAAGGAGAAAGAAACTGACGTGTTCTGGAAATTAAGCGTCTGGTCGCTGACGACTTGGAAGGGGACGGGGCGGTCGTTGAGGCAGTAGCGACGGAGAATCTCGATGGCCTTGACCAGCGTTGACCGCGAGGGCTTGTTCTCGTGGAAGAGGTCGCCGCCGAGGAGCACGAAGTCCACGCGTTGGCGCTCGGCGATGGCGCAAATCTCCTCGAAGGCGTGGAACGAGTCGTGGCGGCGCACCTCGTCCTTCTCCATGTACCCGAGGTGGCAGTCGGTGGCCACCAGAACGCGGAGCGTGTTCGCGGCGTCGGCGTCCTCCATCGATGAGTTCAAAGAGAAGAACGAATTGCACAGTGTGTGTGTGTGTGTGTTAGTGACTCGGTGAAGAAATTTGGGTGCAGGAACCGAACGTCGTCGTATTGGCTCCAGAGTTTTGTCAGAATGGGCGGGACCTTTTTTTTTTCTTAGCTATTTTCCTATTCTAGTATTTTAAAATAAAAAATTTTAATTTTTAATTTTTAAAATAACAAATTTTGATCTTCATATATTAATAATTAAGCTTTAACATTCACTCGAGTTTAAAAAATGTAACATTTAGTGATATAATATAATGAGATAAGAAAACTAAAAAAATATATAAATAAAATTTATTAATAAAATAAAAATTAATTAGTCATTAAATTAAAATAAATATAAATAAAAATATTTTTATATGTTATTTAAAAAAAATATTTTTATATATTATAATATTAAATATTATGTCACTTAATTAGTAATATATATAAAACGTTATTAAAATTTAATAATTAATGAACATTAAATTGATATAAGAATCAAAATTATGTATTTAATTATGTATTTTTAAAATAGATGGTGTAAATACTTTTACATTAAAATAGGAAAATCAAATTTTCATATTGTTAAAAATAAACAGATCTACAATTTAACTTATTACTTTCTTTTCCAATTTTTTTTAGATAATTTATTTTCTTTTCTAATTTTAATAAAAAATAATTAAATAAGATAAAATTAGTTAAAATTATTAATATTTTTTAAAGAAAACAAGAAAAACAAGTTATTTATTTCACATTCCCTAAAAAATGGTTTCCTGGAAATTGAAAGGAAATGGAAGAAAAATAATCACTACATTTTTAATTTCTTAAAAATTAAATATATTAATAGCATATTAAATTTTAAAATAATAAACAACTTTATGTTAAAAAATAATGGAGTAAAAAAGTTTATTTTTAATTAGTATAAAATATTTTCGTATAATTTATTTTATTACTTTTTTTTCATCCAAATAAGTAGAAATTTGTCTACTTAGTTCTTATTTTTATTCATTTAAATAATATATTTTCCATTTTATTTTTCTCATGTTTTTTATACTTTCAAATTTCAATCTCTTTCCTTCTAATTCTTTTTCTTTTTATTTCACTCAAAATCCAAACAATTTAATTGCATAAGGCCCAAATCCATAACTATGAACTTGTGGTGAAGGCATGCCTAATAGCAAGCAAGGAATGAAAATATTGACGGCCCATTTCATCTAAGTGAGCTTACACGATAACAACAGCTCTAATCCTATTCCCATTAGACAATCTTACTCTACTACTCATCTCAAATTGTTCCTCTTAAGTTTTTGAATTTGTCAAAACACTGTTGAATGGCTTTTGTAATAGTTTGACAAGAAACCAACGCTTTGTAAAAAGCTTAGAAATATAATTGACATTGTGGATGTAAATATCAATCTCCCTCATTATGCAATTGATGGAATAAGTAGCATCATCTCTTTTTGTACACAAGTTTTAAAAACATTATTTATAATTCTCTTCCCTTTTCACTATTGATATCGATATCGTGCTAATACTATAAATTAACCCACCTTTTTGTTTTACTTTTCATTGAAACTGATGTTAATAAATTATTAAGTATTTTATTAGAGTGTTGGTGAGTTTTCAAATTTTAGGTAGTATAAATTTTAAAAGAGAATATGCTTAAATGAATTAGTTCTAAGTCAAAACACTTTTATCTGAAGTTTGATAAATAAACGATAAAGAAACTTTAATATTTAATTCTTATAAAAATAATTTATTCAATATTTTCTCATTTCTTTAAAAAAAACTCACATCTATTACTTTTTATTGTTATTACTAAGTATTATAATTATTTTTATTGACATTGTTGTTATCATTATTATCATAATACAACAATGATTATTTTGCAATTGACATAAGAACTAGTATCTAATTCTAATAAGTATCATTCTTATAGGGAATCTTCCAATTAATTGACCAATTCAAATAATATAGGAGTCGTAGAAAGAAAATGAGTCTATTCATAAGAGGAGATGAGATCATATGAAAAATATAACCGATTCTTTCCTTTGTTTGGGCTATTGGCCATCCGCCGGAAGTTTCGGGTTTAATACCGATATTTTAGCAACAAATCCAATAAATCTAAGTGTAGTGTTAGGTGTATTGGTTTTTTTTGGAAAGGGAGTGTGTGCGAGTTGTTTATTTCAAAGAATAGATTGGATCCAACTAAACTGCACTTTTTCGTTATAACTAAGAAAATGTGCATAATCCCGCGAATTACTTCTGAATTAATTAATTCCATTTTTTTTATTAAATTATTAAAAAAAATATTGAAGAACCATAGCATTTCGTGATTTATTGGTAAATTTACTTTGATTCTCTATTAACCAATACTTTTGGACTATTACCATGGTTAAAGTGAATAGTTTGAAGTCTAGACGCAGTGTAGTACTCTTTCTACCACTATGTTAATACAGAAATGAAATGGTTTCAATTTCGTCATAAAAATGCTAAAAAAATTTAAAAAGTTAAAAAGTACTAAAACAAAAATATAAAATAACAAAAAGAGAAAATTAAAAAAATATATATATATAACCAAAAGAGAGATGTACGTACATTTTTGTCTAAGTAAGTAACTTAGAAAAAAGAGATAAAATTTTGAAGTTTTTATGTTCAACAACATAAGTTCACAATATCATACATTTTGCTATAATTATTTGTTTAATGTTTTCTTTGCACTGTTAGAAATCTTGACAATAAATCTATAATTGTTGTTGCTAGCATGAAAATCAAAATTCATCTTCATTTTGATGAAAATTAATCCCAAAGTAGGTGATTTATTAAAAAAAATGTTAAAGTCCCACTTTATTTTTATAGCACCATAAGTATTGTTAATTTTTGCCTTTTTTTAGTAATAATTAGGTGTTGAGTTGTCTTGTAATGTGGTTAAGTGACTCTAAGAGTTAAGAAACTCTCAAGAGTTTGGTTAATTTTGGGGGTTATTTGGTCATAAGTTCAGTTAACCTTGTGAAGGGAAAGTATATAAGATTTCTTTTTAACCTAAGCCTCATAAACTCAAGTCCCAAAGAAACTCTAGAGAGAGACTCTAGTTTTCTAAAACCTTTCTTCATCTTTCCAGCTCCCTTAAAGCGATAGAAGATTTTAGTTGTGTAACTAAGGAGAAATTTAGACTCGAGAAGCTTGAAATTAGATTCAAAGTCTTCAAGTTGTGAGGAAAACTCCATCTTCTTCTTCCTCTTCTCTTTCAAATTTCGAGACTTGGGGGTAAAGGGAAGTTAGGATTGATTTGTTGATGAACTAGCTAAGTTCCATGTTGTTGATTGCAATGAAATGTGATTATGTTGTTGAAGTTTTCAGATTGTATGATGAAAGGGTTACATTTGAGTGTTCACAAGGTTGTTGAAATGATATTAGTGGTTTGGTCTTAAATATGGTTGCATGTGTGATTTGGGCATGAATTTGAGTTGTAAATGATTGGTACATATGAAATGTTGCAATGCATGCGTGGTTTGCTTAGTTTCAAGTACCTCGGGGTTAATTTCATGGGTTGTTATGTACAAAACTCACTGTCGCATTGGGTGCACCTTCATGGTGTTAGACATGATTCAATTAGAGACACTTTGTCTAGTTCACATCGAACTCATAATTGATAGCAATGGGCATAAGGAGAGAAAATCGTCTTGATTTGAATTGGTGTCAAACATGATTTGAATACATCGAATGTGAGGTTAGAGAATAGTCTCAAGTTGGATTAGCGTTGGATGCTAAAGGAGTGGCATTGAGTGTGAAGAAAGAAAGTCACCTAAGGTTGAGGTCGAATGTGGAATTTTGTCACATTAGGTGTGAGGTCTTAAGGGTTCCCTATCTTAGCCAGATTGGTCACAAGTTGAGTGATATCGAACATTGGTGAGACAAAGAGTTTCATGCCTTAATGGCATTGAGTGCAAGGTATATTGTGTCAAGTGCAAGTTGCTTTGTATGTTATTGTTGTTAGTGACTTTGATGGTGAACATGAGTAAAATTGTTGAATTCATTGCATGTTGTGTGTTGAATGATGATGATAATTCTATTTATATTGATTTGGAATAATATATGTAGATTCGTATGGTTGAAATTGTTGATAAGCATTGGTATGTTCTACTTGATGGTGTTGTTGGATCTTTATGTGTATTGACCTAGAGTAAGCAAAGGTGATATATGTTGAGGTGATGCTGAGAATACTATATACATTAAAGCATATTGATCAACTTAGGGTTAAAGGAGAGATTGTTGTTTTTGAAAAATAAATATCCCATATGGGAGTATTGTTGTGGCGTTCTAGGAGGCTAGTGGTTGGATAACCCTCATTGATTAGGTGTGAAACTCTTTGAGTGAATTAATGAGTCTTTTCTAGGTTTTTAATTAATGTTGGAGTAAGGTATGAAGTCGAAAACTATAATCCTCAACTAATTACTAAAAAAGTTGTGTGGTATCTCAAGGATAATCAGTAAGTCAATCTCACAAGTGGTTTGGTAATATATATCAAGATTGCTAAACAAAACTTAATTGGCACAAGAAACTTGACCTACTGATTAAATAGATAATAAATAATTAATAAAAAAAAGTACATAATGTGTTAAGTACAAACCTTATTGTTATTATAATTCTTATTTATAAAAATTAAATAGATAAATAATAATGAGTAGAGGTAAACATGGGTTGATATATGGGCTTAGGTTCACGAGAGTGACGAGACACCTCATGAAAATAAGCTTAGAGAAGTGGGCATAATTTTTTTTTTTTTTAAGATTCTCATATTCATAGAAGAAATTAAGTTTGGCTCGCGAAATCCATAAATTTTACGAACTTAATTTATGAACCTCGTGAATTGACCTATTTAAAAGAATTATTATTTTTGCTAGCTTTATGAAGAATTTTAAAATATGAATGATTTTATTATTTTATTGATAAATAAATATAAGTAATAAATATTAAATTTAGTATATTTTCTATGCAAAATATATTGCACTTTTACAAAATTAACATGTTTTAGTTTTTTTAATGCATAAATATATTTTAG